AAAAAGAAAAAGGAAAACAAAACACAAGACTACTATTTATACAACAGACTAGTTCACAATATTATGTACATACAGTGCTTTAAATGCTATATTATAGTGCTATTTGCTTTTTCTTCTTTTCTACATACCCGAGATTCTTCCGCCAACATTGCATTCATATCTTGGTCTGAAATAGCTGACATCATTTTGATGTCTGAGTAGTACCGTTCTACCCATTCTTTGTACACTGGAATATCCTTTGCATACAGAAGTTTTGAACTTGGAGAATCTTTACCTATATGTACCAATAAAATATGGAAATATTAAATGACTGGTAACATAGAAATAATAACAACAAATGTAACTCATTTACAATTTTAGTAATAAATCAAAGCATTGTAATAATTATGCCGTGAATGCACTCAACTCACCCAGTCTATGATCTGATGTCGAGCAGGAATCCATGAAAGTTTGTGCTACGACGGAAAGGCAGGAATCCACAATATTGGACTTATGAATATCAAACACAAAGTTTGGATTCTTAATTAAGTTGACCCAAAAACGAAGAGGCAAACTGTAAAAAGCAATTGCAGTTAAATAAAAAGTATTAGGAGACATACAATGTATGCTCTTTTAACCTTTCGACTGCTAAGGAGATGCCTAGTGTGGATCACATGGACTGCATAATACATATAGCCATTGGCACTGCTCTGTGCTGAGCCTGCCAGTCAGGCTGATCTCAGCTTTGGCTGGCCACAGTAACTTTGAGATTATGGGGCAAAGCCAATGATAATTGAACATAGACACATAGAGAAAATTTTGAACAACTCGAGTACTAAAAGGCAAGTAACAACAGTTGAAATAAAAATAGAGCTAACAGAAGATCTACTGGGAGTGCAAGGACTCCAGCATTTCACAGATTTGAAAAGTAAACAGTGATAGGAAAGTGTCAGTGCAATCATTAATCTCTCTTTGCGAGGCAGTCCTTGGAAAGAGATATACCTCCCAACCTTCCTTGACGCACACTCTAGTAAAGTATACTAATTTAAGAAAGCAACTTCAGTCATTCCTGTATAGAGGATACTGATCCAGACAAGAAGCATTCAAGCGATCTAGTCCGTATAAATCAGATACCAGCTAACCACAACAGCATCAAAATGTTAAGTTAGTGTGCAGAATCACATATAAAAACCACTAAAATCATCAGAAACCAATTGTCCTTTGCATTCATAAAAAGAATGGCCTAACACATTTACACATCCAGACTGTGCACACCATCTCATCATTTACAGAGCTCCTCAGGCAGAGAAATTTTCCATGTGTTAACACATCCAGAGCAGTCAAAAGGTTAAAGAATTGACAAATCTTAGAACACTATACCTATTGCTTTTCCAGGTATGCACGACCTCAGGATCCGAGATACCATGCTGCAATGCTTGGTCATCGAGGAAGTCGAACATATATTTTATGGCAAGGGGCAAAGCACTACCTCGATGAGCTGTGCTGAAGATTGTCTCAAAGAGATCATCCACAAATTTTTGGAGGGTGCCCTACAAAAAGAATTTTGGTAATTAGAATGTCACACAAAAAATATTAACAGGATTTCTTATAAAATGAAAGAAAATCTGTTTCACAAAGTATTTATTAACATCGTATAACTTGAACAGAAAATGACATGAATACTTAACCAGAAAAAGAACACTTCAGAGTTTATAAAAACGAACTCTGAAAGGGGCAAAAGAAATTACGTAAAGAGAAGAAATGGATTTCTGTTCTTCTCTTATGTGTTATTCTGATACCCACTAAAATCGTTCTTTATTAATCTAATATTAGGTAAAACATAAAATTGTGAATGTGCACTTGTACACCATTATATAAAATTAAAAGGTTGACTGTTCATGATCATGTGGTAACATCCTTAACTTAAAAAACAGCAAATCAGTAGCTTCAGAATTTCCAGAACGTTACTTCCAGTGAAGTGCATGCACCAACCATAGTAAATCAGCAGAAGATCATTACAATTGTTTGAGTGATTTTAATTGTGTTAAAGTGTTTTGTATGAATGGGAATTCACAGAAGCTTGTTCTTTTAATTTTGTTTTTCTTAAGGGGATCCTATTGTTGTAGTGTTTGGTAAAGAATGAAAGTCATCCTACAAAAACCTTATCAAATATCCTCACAAAACCGTAATCAATTGAAACAATGATTTATTTAAAAACTCACCTTAGTGGCCAATAATCGTGTGAGATAAATCTCAGACACCATCTTGTTTCCTCGCTCTCCTTCTTTCTGTGCATCTGTATCATGATGTTTCACTAGATGCCAACTCTGTAATAAAAATTATAAAACATTAACTTAAATAAACACTTTAGATTTCAATACAATATTGATACAACATAATGACTGTTCAATATTATGTTTCACTAATAAAACTAAACAAAACTAACAAATAAAACTAAATTATTTGAGAAATAGTTTTGCTATTAAAATAAGTTATTTCATATAAAGAATAGTTACCAAACTGGCAATTTGCTGAACATTAATTGCTCATAGCCACAATAGTATGTATATTATATTAATCCAAGATTTAAGACAAATAAACACTGGTTTCTTTTCATTTGTAGCAACGTAACCCTTCCCGCAGTTACAAGTATGCCACTAAAGCAAGAGATACGACTATACAAATTTAATAGCAAAAATACTATTTTGTTTGAAAATTGCTATGAATAGAAAGATTTTGAACAAAAAGTGAGTGGAAAAATTTATCTAACTTGTGATAATTGAACAAATTTATAACTTATTTTACACACCACTTATAGAGTTAGCAATGCATTATTCTTTACTTGCATTAATAACAATTAAAATTAGTTATTAAATGCTAAACAGGTCAACAGAATTAAAAATATTATTTTCTGAGCAACAATTTTTTCACAAAGAAACTTAAGACTAGAAAATGGGTCACATAAAAACACTATACTAACCTTCAAACCACCATCGTGGTCATGATTGAGTGGGGATGTGGCGCGGCTAAGAGGTGGACTTGCAGAACTGAATTTGGACAAGTTGAGAGTCTCATACTTGTGAGATTTGTCTGTTTTCTCAGACAAAATAGAAAGATTATATATGGACGATTGCTTGGAGACTAGATTTAGCGAAGCCCCATCTGGTACCTGAAAAAGATTTTTATTCATAGATAAAAAACATTTAGATCAATATTGTGTATACCACTTTGCACACAGATTTAATTTAACACTAAATCTCTCAAGTATTACCATATGTTAAAAAAATGAAGAATGTACAAGATATGAAGAAATGTTGAAGTGAAGTAAATGTATGTTACAAGAACTACCATGTTGATACTAGTGGCTGAAATTTGCCAATCTTGTGTTTCAGATTAGAAATTTAATACAGTCATATTATTATATCAGACACTCACTCTATAATGGTTCAAAGTATTTCTTTTCTTCCATTCTCCTTCTGTTTTAGTAGTGCTATCTTCATCATACAAAATGAGGCGCCCTGATGTGCCTGTTCGCCACTCTGAAAAAATTAAACAAAACACATTGGGTATAAATAGGGACTATTTTCTTTTTCAAAATGAATACCTTGGTTCTGTAGATGTAACAACTTTCAAACAGTTAACTGTGTAGCAATAACGAGCAAAAAGTAATGACAAAAGATTTTTAAAAAATTTAAAAAACAATATTAACACTGAGCTACAATAACTTGACTGTGGCTCAGATATTTGCATGCGAACAATGCTGGGTTTAACCATAAGGCTTTAATTAATAAGTATTCTATTATCTATTTCTGTTATTTCGTATTTAATCATTGAACTTTTAATGAAATAACTTGAACTTGCTTATTTTTACATCACGTATGCATCACATCACTGTGAGTAAATATTTCTTTCTTTATCTTGTCTTTAAAAATAGCTGTACCACCTCATAAATAAATAGATAATATTATATGTCAATAATGGTTTTTATGGGGTGGTTTTAGATTTAATGCCTGTACCAATGATATGCATACAGACTTCTCCAATATGAAACATGGATACACACAACTGAACTGAGAATTGCTGACTTTCAGACTGCAGTGTGTGTACTGAAGGATTAAATTACAATTTAATCTAACAGCAAAACCTAATTATATCAGCTAGATTAATACAACAAAAGAATAAAAACAAGGATACAAAGTAAATTCACTGCCAGAATAAATTAAGATATTCAGATAAAACTTAAGTAGTATCTTACCAAGATCAAGATCATCTTTACGAGGTCTCTGACTATATGGTGTGGCTCGGTAGATTGTGTCAAGAGCTTTTTCTTTGACTTGTGAAATGGTGTCACAATCCAACACTTTTACAGGCACATTTTCTGTATTGGGATCCAGCCCACTTACAAAAACAGCTTGTTGTGATATGGAAACATACACCGTCTGTAAAATTGAAATATGTAGAGCATGTATGCAAGGCTTGGAAAAAATTAATTGAACAATTTTTAAAAAATTACCATTGGTTTGAAGTCAATAGACTGGCGAATAAGTTTTTCCTCACTAAGTGAATAACGTGCTTCAGAAGTGATAGCATCCACAGGTCCCTTGTCCACTTGCTGTTTCATGGCTCGAAACAGCATGAACAGTGGTTCACCAGCACACTCACGCAGGAACTTATAGAGAAGGAACGTAAACCAGGCCGAGAGCATTTTTTCGGCCACACTTTCTGTCCTGAAATAGTAGAATAGCAATATTAATAAAAAATATTTTGAAAGCAAAAGCAGATACAAAGATACTAACTAACAATTGCAAATCTCATAATTAATATCTATAGTTTCATTGTTGAGGTATCTAAATCTAAATATTATATTATTTGAAAGAAGCTATTTGTTTTATATGATCGGATTTCCAAACATCAACTCAGTAGTTTTAGTATTAATTGTAAATAATACAATTCTGAATACACACCTCCTGAGCAGAAGCTTAGGATGACTCTTGCCCTCCATACACTTCTCAATGAGCTCGGCAAGGAGAGTCTTCAGAATATCAGTGCAGTACTCCATTTTACTTTGGAGAGTTACCATGATTAATGATGCAACATTTACCCTGGAAAGAAAATAAATGTAAAACATATATTCCAGTGACTAAGTATAATAGATAAATATTGATACATTAATTAGCATTCATCAACTGAAGATAACTACCTGTCTCTCATAGAAAAGTAGCGGTTGCTTTCTAAAGTACGAATAAACAGAAGCAGGAATGTTTTGTTCATAATTAGTTGCCCAAAGAGACGTAATCCCTTATCTTTACGAAGGAGTTCAGGCCGCTCCCATTGAAGAACTGCATGATCATCCATATTAGGAAACAAAATTTTCATAGCATATGTACGATAATCCAAGAATGGTATTCCTCCTGATGTGAGATCTCCGGTCAAATCAGTCATTTCTGTCTGCAGTTCAGCAAATGCTATAAACAAAGTAGGAAAATATATTGGATAAAGAACCAATGCCATGCATTTCATCTTGACACAAATTTACTCTACACAGTATATCAAGACAATTTATTACTTATTACTCATTAGACCAGAACTGAACAAAGACTACAAGTTTCCATGTAAGAACATGCAGACAATGAGCAAACACAATTTTAGCTGGTATAAAAAACTATTGCAGTAATTGAATATTCTTTTATTAACAGTTTAAAAAATATAAATAAATTAAAAAATACCTTCTTTGCATTCAGCTGCTACACGAAGTTCCAAAATATCCATCTGTTCTTGCATATTCTTCAATACTCTATTGCTTTCAGTTGACTTTCGTCTGTATGCTATTAGAAAAGCTACAAAAACTACAACCAATAGAACAATACCAGCAATAACACCAATCAAGGCTGGTTTTGACATTAATCCATTTGGAGCTGTTGGAGAAGCATAGCTCAATTTACCAATTTTGTACCTCAGTCTACCACCAACAACAACCTGCAAAATAAAACAAAACAACACAAATTTAATGTTATTTGAATTCATTGGATTATATTTTGTAAATGCAAAACAAATACAAATAACTGTAAGCTCACCACAACTTCTGGTAATTCTTGTGGGTTAATGTTTCCATCCTTATCAACTGCAGGAGGCTGAACAGTGGGAGGTCTGCATGTCAATTGTTGTCGAGAGAGTGAAGTGACATTACAGAATGAATTTCCAATTTGAACAACTACATCAGATTCCTGGCATGCACGGTCGAGATGCTGTCCCTATAAAAAACATAAGAATAAGTGATAAGAAAAGCAACAAAAGAAAAATAGCTCCTTTTTCAATATATATAAAAAAATAAAATAAAATTGTACCACAACTGGAAACAAATTCTATTAAATTATATTAAATAAATCAGTGGCAACTTGTTCACACTTCTTAAGAGGAGAAAATAATTCAATTGCACAAACAACTTTAAATGAAACATACAACAAATTAGATTACATGAATAGACACGTGATGAGATAAGAGAGAAAGATCATTTTGGTTTGCCCCTGGCTTTGGCAAACCCAAATTCAAATAGTTCGCAGTGTGTTCATTGCTTTGCCCATGTCCCTCTTCTTGTGCTTTGGCCCTTGTCACAGAACCAGTATTGCACATTTCAGGCACTCATTGCCCATAACTAAGGGGTGCGTTTTAATGAAATACGTTTTTTTTTTCACCTAAGAAAAATGCTATTTAGCATAAAAATGATTTTCATGTTATGACAAATAGAAATTACCCATTTTTATAAGTCATTTTTTTGTCGATTCTGACTAATAAGTGATTTTTTAACTTTTCCCGCCATTTTTCACTGATTTCATACATTTTAATTGTGGGGAAGCGACATCCCATCGTGCCCTCCTTCCCATCATGTCATTACAACATAATGACATTTGAATGGTACTTGCATCAAATAATGTTTAAGAGTATTTTTGTGAGTATGTAATCTAAGGTTCATTTGTGATGCCTATCAGTGCCATTGTCTGTTCAGTTAAAAACAGTTCCAGTTTTGGCAACAGGAGCACTATCAGATATGGGCAATTGAAACATGAGAGGAGGACAGAGTTTCTTGCCAGAGTTATTTTTTTTATTTCAATAGTTTTCATGAAGCTTAAAACAAGAGTAGTTTAAAATCCAATCTAAATAAATTTCCCAATAGCTATTAACTCAAAAATTATATATGTCCCCCCCGAACATCAAATCAAATATTTTATTTGGTTATTACATCCAGAAGGAGAAATTATGAAAGGAAGATTTTCCTCCCTTCCCTCCCCTGAAAAACTGCCAGGGGAAATAAATTTATAAATTCACCTTAATGTAAACTTTTCATCCTTCAACATTCTACTACAATCATCTACAGAAAATATTATGCAATAAAGACAGGTCACTTCAAGAGAGATAATTTGTAACAACATGCTTTTAGAAACTTTCAATAATTGGGAATATTGGCAATCAGCAACACTGTTGTTTTAAGAATGTTTAAAAGTTTTTTTCTTTAGAATTTTTTCAGTTTTTTCTCAGAATATAATATTGCAGTGTTTAACATTATCCTGATAAAACACTTAAAATGTAAGACTTTTCAGGTGATTTTATTCTCTTGTTATGTGGAATGTATTTCCACTTCAGCTACGTCTCGGACTCAACCTATTTTGAGGAACCAAAAACTAAAATTCTCATTTTCCTATGATTTTGACAGATTTTCAAAAAGATGTTCACCCCACCCTGATAATCAATTGCTTCCAATGTTGTAGTTTACTGCACTGCACAATTCAGTCTTGCTTAAATTTCAGAAATAAACACTAGATCTTTGCCAAAGTTTAGTACATAAATCAAAGTCAATTTCTTAAATTATACCAATGGATTACATACTACTGATTTTCTGTCAACTTCTGTTGTAGGTCTAAATAAAAATTGTTAGCCACAAATATTAATAAAAATCAATTAAAACCCTTTAAAACAAAACAATTAATAAGCCACATTAATTAAGTAACGTGCAACTCAATACTCTAAAGAGTACACCATTAAATGGTTCTGAATTCCATAAAAATTATTCATTCAAATGCCCATTTTGTATGCTTTCTTTCCAATGACTTTTCCTCTACCTCCCCCATCTAAGTGCGTATTTTGCCACTTTTTCTTGTAAAATTAACATCTGGGCACAAGTATATATGACCGGAAAAGACATCATAAATTTGCAATTTGATATTAAGAATGATATGTAACTGAACACTTACATTAATAGTTAAATAGTCGCTTTTGTAATACTTAATTTCCTCATCAAAGGGTTCATAAATGGGGTTTGGATACAATAGAAAATGAGTATTAGTTCTTGCTGACAAATTCTGGACCCCTGACACATTATCCATTCTGAATCCGTATTCAAGTTTTAATGGATCATCAGCATCTATTGGTCCTTTCACTTCGATCTCAGGTGATGCACATGCCATATTTGAATTACTCTGGACAACACATTGCTGGAACAACAAAGATAAGCTTGTAGCAAATACAGATTATAGCGCCTTGACATCATACTCAAATTATTACAGGAACTAAGTTCTAAATATAAACAGCACAAAAAACTTAACTGAAAAATAACTGTTAATGAAATGTAGATATCTGAGAAGATTAATATTACTTTTACATTAAAAACTGCATTTACTCATTTAAAACAACATGTTTGTTTAAGTAATTAAACACATAAGAAAACATATATTTCCATGGAATTTGAAATAAAATTGTTTTAATATTTGATTATAGAGACTTTTCTAACTAATTAAAACAGAAACTCTTATCTGTTTTAATTAATTATATTTTTTCAGATAATACTTACACTTCCAAACATTTTCTGTTTGAAATAAACATACATCTGTGGATTTTGAATGTATGCTAAGTTTTTTCCAGAGACAGATATCTTAATTCCTCCAGCTGGAATACCTTTTGGTATTTTTATCTGCAATATTAATTAATGCAAAAGCTGTTATTCTGATGTCTTAAAAACATTAAGATAGTCTACTTAAATTTGTATTATTTTCAAATCATTCCAGCTCAGTTAACACAAACAGCATAAATACAGTCACACTAGGCAACTATTAATGAAAGTTTACATAAACTTCATTTTTTCATACCTGGCCTGCAACTCCTGATTCAGCTGATTCGATAGTTGGATCTTCCACATACTCAAATAATTCTTTGTCAAATACTCTATCACCTTTATCAAATTTCATGCGTAGTTTGCCACTTCTCTGCCTGTCAGAAGCACTAGTTATACACAAAGCTTCCTCTGCCTTAGTTCTGGAAACAGAAAAAATAGTGTTAAGCTTCACAAACCATAATCAGAGGTTTTTTCAATTCTCTTAAAACATTAAAATTGAATTATGTAATTATAATATTTAATACATATTTATAATGCATATTTTAACATTCATGATATCTTAATAATTCAATTAGCATTATTAAGATAATAGATTCATCTACATCCAGAATGAAAGAAATACAATCTGTACAATTTTTTTTAATATATAGGAACAAAGAAAAAAGAGTAATCATTATACAGATGAAACTGTTCACATTAAATAAAAATAAATTTGATGAACGAAAACTACAACTTACTCAATAATCTCACAAGGCAGATCATCGATAAAAGCAAGGATGCGGCTGCCAGCATTCATGTATTTTCCAGATATCCTCAGTCGAGTTCCTCCAGATCGAGGGCCAAATTTGGGTGAAATAGATTCTATCACTGGGTCAACAAATTCATAATTGTGCTTGGATTCTCCACGGAAATCTTCCACACGTACAATTACTGGGCCACGTCGAGGTTCATTTGTTCCAGGACCATCCACACGACACACAATTTGCTTTGTTTTAATATAAAGTGAATCATATGGTTCACACTGAATTCCTGCTACACTCACTCCACCATAAATATCATTGTAAGTTTTTCCTAAGTTAATGCCGTGAATAGTGATATTTGTGCCACCTTCCCAAGGACCTAATTGTGGTTCAAAAGCTGTAACTTCTGGATTGGGACATGTCTGGTTACGATTCAGCCACACTCCTGCACCATCACACTGTTCTTTCACTTCACAGCGATCTGACACTTGACACCATCCACAACCATACTTTTCCGCAAGTGCAAGGCACATGCCACAGTTATCAGCCATATCACGACATCGATATATAACCACTGGAAACAAAAGTGACCATGAGAATGAACTCAATATAAAGCATGAACACACATAAAATTTTTATTACGTACCATGAATATTGTCAGGATTATCCAAAGGTTTTGAACCACCCCAAATTACTGCGAAAGTAGCAGTGATATTGGGAGCTCGAGATGTGTAGGAAAATTCCATTGAGTCACAATATATTGTGTCTCCCAGTAACTGTGCATTGACACTAGTAACTCTACCTTCAATATTGAACTGGCATACAAAGCGAGTTTGCACAATGAATTGCTGGAAAAAGAAGAAAAATCAATATTGAATGGGAAACATCGAAAATAAATTATATACCGTTTTATTAAGATGCATTTTTTGCAAAGAATGTTTAAGTTGATAGGTAAATGAAGGAAGCAAGAACGCAACATTGTAAATTTACATACATAACACAATGAAATACAAAATTGAAAATTAAACAAAAATACAGAATAGGAAGTGACTGAAAAGGAATTAATTTTCTGTTATTTTCTCTTCCTTCAACATGGTTCAAGTGTAAATTAGTAAAATCAGTTAATAAACAAGTATAAAAAAGACTTGCTATGAAATATTATCATAGTACAACTTCCAAGAGATTAAAAATGAGAAATATGTCACAAGTTACTACTGTTTTGAAGAAGCCAATAATTCTCAATTGCAGTTCACACTGCATTTGAATATATTATTCAAGTTATTTTTACTTCAATAATTTATATATACTGGAGTAGTAGTAAAAGTAAAAATTGTACTGGAGACGAGAGAATGCCCGAAGTCCTAATATCCTTGACTTTCCATTCATTCCTCAAATAAATAAGTAATCATAAAAATAAAATTACAAAGAGAAAATGAACTTGCTAATTAGAGGTTCAATCATGTTTTGATACCTAATTAATAATACAGACATGTATGAATGATTTCTAGAGACTAGATATCAAAGCAAATGCATATTTTTTTCCATTTAGTCAGAACATGCTCTATTTGGTACAGGCAAGAAACTCCCAATTTCCAATTATTTAAACATATTTTATAAAGCAATATCTTACATATTTTGTCTGTTTTCTTAATAAGCATTATATTTCTGAAAATTGTTACTAATTCTGCTTATTTTATTTCAAACTGTTTATTATCATTCATTTATTTACTTTAATAAATTTAATTGTTAACTCTATAATGTGTCTATATATGTTGTATTTGGCTGAGACAACTTTCCTACATTTGAATTTGGCATGATATTTAATAAGACAATTATTGTATGTAGTATTGCGTGCCATTAAGTTCATTTTAAAAATCGGTAATGCTGATGATCACACGTTAACTGAATTCCAAGTCATAGAGAAAGCTTACCTTACAATGTGAGCAGAACAGGACAGGAAGAACAAAGGAACTCCCAAAGTACAAAGGTGGGTTTCAAGAGGGATTCGGAATTGTGTTCAAACATAGTTCTAACGGTAATTGTTAACACTTTCAATCATATGCCCAAAGGCTGCTCTCTTAATCTCAGTTGACAAAGTCAGTATACCGTGAATCTCATATATACCAATTTTGTCTTCTAAAACAAGCAATGTTCGTTTTTTTGTTATGTGGAAAAACATTGTCAGGTTCCTCATGTTCCAGGACAGGTATATACAGGATTGGTTAAGTGTCTACCACACAGAAGTTAACTCGCTATAAATTGTATATACTTGGCTGCCCAAGAGACGCCACAACCTAGGTACAAATGTCAGCTTTCACCCGTGGAAGCCTTCAGTTCCATGTTCCATTGTGTTTCAATATAATACTTAGTATGTAGAAGTTATTTTGAGCAATTAAAAAAGGGTTGAATTTAAATTAATAGTGCATAAGTTTCATTAAATATCCCAAATCAATATTTCCTTCCTGGTTAAGTACGTTTCAAATTTTATTTGCCATGAGTTTCATACATCTACCTCTAATTTATCACTTGATAAAAATTCTCAAAAAATGCCTCAAAATGGCCAGAATTCTTGAACATGAACTGAAAGGCCCAGAATTGTATGTGTTAAGTATATTTAGCTGCAAATATTTCATTGTGGAAACTAATTCTTCCAACACAGTTCTTCGAAATGTCACTGGGAGGTGTTGTAAGAGTAAAATACTAGATGAATGTACTTCACATAAAAATTATGAGAAACTATGTAATAATGGTAATATCATGTATTTTATAGGGCATGTTTTTGTTCATTGTATAATTGCATAATTGTACATTTCATAGTTGTTAGTATATATAAATATTGTCTCTAATAATTACACAAGGAGAATATCGTGTACTTAGTAAATTCCTTGTTAAGAATAACAAAAAAATTCAAGAATTTGCTTCATTGAAACATACCCCAATAATATGAACTTTGACCTTGATGCTCTTTTTGATTCCTGAAGATACTAAAATTTCTGTTGATCCACCAGTCGCATTGATTGTAGGACAGAACCCTGGACCACTACGGTAGCTTGGTCCAACTCTCTGAAAATAAAAATATTCCATTACAGCAACCATACAATATAATAGTTTATACAACAGAATTCACTTAACAATATAAAATGTAATTTAAACAAATTTATAATTTTTAAACAATAACCAAATTATAAAACAGATTAACAGATAAGTGCAACATAATATTTTAGCATCTAAATGAACATGTATGCGTATGTGAAATGCTTCTGCCCTTAGACAACAACAATTAGTTCTCTGCTCACTTGATAAATTACAAAGAAATGTTTCATGGACATTTCTCTCTAATGGATATCTCTCTTTAGCAGACATTTTCACATTCACAAACTATCTCTATTGGTTTCAACAAGTTTTAAACTTCTGTATAGTGAACGCTGTCTGTAAAGAAAGCAAATCACCATTTAGATTAGCATTCAATTTATTCTCCCTGAAACAGACAGTAGGCAAGCTTACAACTCTCAATCAACTGTTCTCTATGGCCAAGATAATGGGTCTACTTTTTGTTTCTTATTCTTTGACTGTATGCCTGGTATTGTCATCACACATCACATTCATTTTCAAGGATCTTCAGGCATTTGTTTAATTTTGGATGAGATCTGATGTGGAGAGGTGGTCTGTTCAGTGAGCTGTGTTTTTATGTCATTCCAAGAGCAGTAAGTGTACTCTTGATTAGTTGCATGTTAGCTAGAGAGCACACTAGTATGTACTATATATATAATTTTGAATTTAATGTGTAAATTTAAAAATTGTGATTTTGATCATTCCCCCCACCCCTTTTTTTCCCTATCTTTATATCTCTACGTATTATCAGACACTTCTCTCAAACAAATTCTTGTTCCTTGTTGCCACCAGTTAAAGGGAAGTTTCACTGAACTAACATTTTACAGGAATTTAAAATCTGATAGGCCAAAGATTAATTTTTATGTCACTGACAGAATAAAATGTTTGAGAAATTGTGTTAATCATAATATACAATTCTTTACTAAAAACAAGATTGCTTTACAACTTGTTAACATTCAAATCTACTATTTTTAGCAATCACCATGGCTCTTTTATTCATATTCATGGTGATGAAATAATAATTAACTAAAAATAGTTATAAATCTGTATTCCTAATTTCAAATGCTCGCAGAAATTGAGAGAAAATTAGTATATGGTCATGAGAGAGAGGTGTCAATGGTTTCATTAGATACCCAGAATCTCAAGAGAAAACAATCAAACAGTTTTGATTTTCAATGAAAAATGCAAAAAAGAAAATATTGTTCAGGATCCTATGTGGTGCTCAGCTAGACTGCTGTGTCTGGTGGGTTGCAATCCCTGCCCTAATTAGAATCTATGTTCACACAAGCTTCCGCGGCTCAAGTTCATGACTCGTTGGCCTCTCAGCCAACGATGTGGTATCACCTAGAGAGCTAAGAAGTCTAGAATCTATGTTACTAATTTTTTGTGCAGAAATTGAAAGAAAAGTGCAGCCAATGGTCATGTGAGAGCTGTCAATGGTTTCATTAAATACCCAGGATGAACAGTTTTGTTTTGTACTGGAAAATAAAAATACTTGATTCTGTTATTCAGTCTATTCTCATTCTGCATGTACTGAATGAATTTTCATTCTCAATGCTTAAGACACAGCTGATGCCATGCAACAAGGAAGAAAGAAACTTTAGTTCTCATATGTGATGTTTCAGAGAACCACCAATTTTTGCTGTTCCAGGACCCCAGTTTCCATTCTCTCCACAGCAGCATTTTTGCCGCTGCAGGCCTCTAGTTCTGACTATATTTTGTATTTGCATATATTCTACATAATAACAAATTATCACATATTACTTAGTTTTGTGAACTTAATTATAGCAGAGAGAGGAGAGTAACTTTCTGACCCAAGATACATCTCATTCTTCTTTCTTCAAGATACAGATTATCTAAGGAATTTTTTATCAACTTCATTGTTTACAATTATTTACTTGTCAAATAAAAATATTGAAGGGACGGAAAATCTCATATTTTGTTTCAAGAAGTGATTAAAAAACATGAATACTTCAATGAATACATCTATTATGTAATTCAAACATAATTCAATATGTATTAATCCATAAATCATAAAATTTAAAGAAAGCAAATAGGAATAAAGAAGTCAGAAAAATAAAATAAGTATCACACAAAACAAAAACAAAAATTACAAATTAATTAGAATTAGCAAGTTCCCTGTATTTCTTAATTACAGGGTCAGACTACTAAAGACATGAAAATTAAGACATAGAAAATTTCTAATTTAATTTTCACGCTTATCTTGCCTATTTCTTGCATTAAAAGTTTTTTGCAGAAAATTTCCATGAACTTAATTTTATATTACTGATGTTTTTAAGCATATTTTCTTAAGAATGAAGAAATGGAATAGAGAGAAAACGGTATCCATTTCATTGATTAGTTAAAGTACATTACAATGCTCTTCAAGATTAAAGTAGTTAATTGACATGGAACATTTCTAAATTGTGTAAAGAAAAACAAAGAATGAAATCTTTTATTCCTAACAAACTAGGAATATAAATAACTTTTAACAATGACATACAAACATCAACTATTACTTGGCTAACAGATAAAAAATAAAAAACAGTTACAAATATGTAGGTTTCAATGTAGCTATTCAAATTATCTGATTCATAAGTCAAACTGTTCATGAACATTTTTTGAATGGATACTGACTTAAGTAGAACATAAAACTTCAAAGTACATAAATTTAAGAATTGCATCTTGTAAGATGTAAAACAACATCTGAGAACCATCTTACATTTGAAACTTTTCTTAGAATGCAGAATTTACATTATTTATTGTACATTAAATATCAGCAAGTTTTTAATACTTATATTTTGCAAGAATTTCAAGTTCAATACCTGATGAAATATTAATTTTTTAGATGAATATGCAAAAAATAAAGATCATAAAAATTACTAAACAACAAATTAATTAAAAAGAAAAAAAAACATTATAAGGAATATGTTTGAATTTGGTCCTTATGATCTAAAAAAATTAGTAAAGTAATAATTTTCTGATATAAATATCATTACTAATTTTATTTCTTAACATCTTTACTTCACTAATAAGGTTCACAATCTGTTGTTATGCATTAAAATGGCAGAAAATAAGAAACAAAATTGCTTTTGAAGAAAAAAAAAATAATAATAATAATAAAAAAAAAAAACAACAACTGAAATTGATAAAAATTAAATGGTTAGTTAATATTTAACTCTACTTAACACTCACACTTATTCCAGTCACTAAGATATCATTCCGACAATTTTCAGCAGTGTCATGGGTACAGCGATGGCCATCTACACACCAGTCACAAGGAAATGAGGAAGACACACACTGTGTACATGAACTGTATGTGTTGCAATCAAAAAACGTGAAGTTTGTTGCAACAAAATCAGGTCCTGATGTCATGCGAACAGATAATTTGGCAGTGAAGTGATCTGGAAAATACAAACATACATTTAATTACAGTGGTAAAGAGATATGCTTATCACAATTATTATGTTTAAAATATGAAAATTTTAGAAAAAAATTGTAACTCACGTTGGCCTGGGGGTATGGACGGCAGTAAGTCAGTGCGTGGTGTTGTACAGTTCACTCCATAAGACTTCCGGGTTGCATTTGTTATTAAAGTCTTGTCCAAAGCAGTAAAAGCACACAAGAACTGTCCAGGCAATGTTGGTAGATTATCAATCACAAGCTCCAACTGAAAAATGACAACAAAAGGAAAATAAGATTAACAATTAGTTTGCTCATGGACACATTTTTCATAAAAATATTTTTTGACATGTCTGCAAGTGAAAATTGTGAGTAATTCAATTTAATCAATTAAGTGGCATAAAATCAATCTGTTTCATGTACTTTATCCAGCATTTGTCATTACAATGAAATCATAATGAAATCTAGTCGTCTTGTTAATCATCGTAAAATATATTTTAGGTCAAATCATTGGCCCATTCCTAAAATATGCATTTATAATTGTGGCTGTTGATCTTTCCACCTTTTGTGGAGATGTCCTCTACCAATAAATGTTCAAGTTTTGCATTTACATACTTTCCTCATTTACCCTTGTTTTTTCTCTATTGAAATGCGATTGCTGTGAGCAAGAATGTATAAGATCTCAATTCGCACAAGTTGGAGTGACTCAATTCATATTTGCACGATTTGGAGGGGTCTCAATTGCAATTTGCCTGAGTAGCCCTTTCACCCCCCTATCATCATCATATCGGGTCACCCTCATGGTTACCATACCGTTACTCGCAATAGTGGTCGCTAATGACCTAGAAGTTGATGCGACCTTAAATAACAAAAACAAAACAAAAAATAATAAAAAAATAAATGAAAACGCGAACCTTCGTTATTGCTAAGGATTTAATTTGTACTTGTGGATAGCACTTCCTCCAATCTCAACCCACGAGTTTTATACGCCCACGTACACTTGAGGCGATCAATGGTATCAAGACATTCAGCACACTTCAACTTGGCTATTCACGCGATAAAACCAGGGTATCGCGTACTCTCTCCACAGTTTCCGTACCTCCTCATTTAAACTAACAAGTTCCACAACATCTCCCCGCTGCATGCCCTTTGGCTCCCAGAAATCGCCCTCGAGGTAGGAAAGAAAGAGTGGTCGGCCGCTGCGGCACGCCGTTCCCATCTCGCGATTTATTTCGCAAAGGGAGCACTGGGGCGGGAGGAACGGCAGGGAGCTGCGGACGCGTCGGCGGTCGCTCGTCGTACACGGCTGCAAACGGTGGGAATGTCAGTAATTAGCCGTCAGTTTAATCGGATCACAGGTAATTGGAGAGGGCCCGACGGCGCCGTCAAGAGGACGGTCTGCAGCCACCGCGGGACGGGAAATACGAATCCGTCGATTCTCCAAATCGAATCAACAAGGTAAGGGTCGGCGCGTAGCGCGCGCTCTCTCTCTACACACACACACACACACGACGACCTCTCGTCCGGCGCCCCGCGCCCTCTCATCCCGGCGCAAGCCCTTAAGCCGCGGTTGCACCTACAGCAGTGAAACTGCCCAGATGGACGATGGCCACCCGCCGCGAACCAAGCAAGATTGCGTCCGCCAAAAGATCTTACAGATTTATTCTTCTCTTGCATTGATTGATTATTTCGTGTTTTCAGGTGCGCCAACTGCTAAGGTCATTAGCCCGGTAAGTGTAGAGTTTTTTCCCTTCCGGATTTGATTGATTAGTGATTCCGAACGCATCAAATGCTAAGGTAATTAGCGTCGTAAGTATAGTGCATGTTTTCCTCGGGAGCTGGCGGTGATCTTCCCCCGATGGATGGTGAGACCCAGCACCGAACTACCTGCCGGCTAGTGGCGTTTTCCGTCACCGGGAGTCTCCAAACAGAAGGGCATCGTCCCAGCCGGGGCACGCTCTAAGTTCCGACCGTCTGGCGACCTGTGTGTTAGTGAAGTGCTTGTGCGTAATTAAGGGGTAAAGATGGACCAAGAAAGAGGAGGGAAAGATTGCGCGTAGTCAGTGGCATTCACCTCGTGTTGGTTGGAGAAACCACGCAACATATCGATCAGAACAGCCAGCCGCTAGAATTCTATTCCACACAGCGGATGAATTCGACTTATAGCTATCAAGCTAGGGTTGAAAAATGCAGCCACCGTCGGGACTCGAACTTTAGGACCTCCCGATCAGAAGCACTGCAGTTGACAATTGATGCTCTGAGCCACCTAAGCCGATATTAGCCAAACTCTCGTTGCTGAGATTGCAAAATTACTGAAAGATGGAGGGTGATCAGAAGAAGCCCAAAAGGATCCACCAGCGAACTGTAAGCTACTCCACAAACCAAATTTTAGAAAACATACACGCAAAGCCTGAGACAAAATTCCAACTACATTGTCCTTAAAAGGACGGGGAGGGGAGAACGGCAAGGGAACGGAACGTCAGCGCCCTGTCCAAGCGTCGCCCGAAGCGCCCTTGATGAGTTCCAGGAGCCTCCCTCTTCCTGTTCCACCCCCGCGCCAGCTGGGGCCGACTCCGCCGCGAAGGGCAGAGAAGAGCCACGCACGTGGTGGCCATGTGGGGAAGATCTCGCAGCCCGCCCACGCCCCTTGCGCCTCGCAACCCCTCCGAGAAGATCATTCTTCCAAATGCGCGCCCGACCTGGATTCTGTTTCACAAACCTTAAGGACGCCGTTCACCGCTCTGGGAACTGTTTCCGGAGGGCGCATTTAGAAAAAGCTATTAATATCGCCGAGCGCAAAAGAACAAATTCGGCTCCTCTGCAGTAGGAAGAGATGGTGGGAGACAGCGAACGAGCGAGGGAGTGCGAGGTGGAGATGAAAGGAGATTTGTCGTCATTATAGTGCGTCGTCATTATAGTTCGACTCACTAAACGGAAACGAGTGGAATTACAGTGTATGCGCAAACACACGTATATGAAGTAGGTATGACCTTGAAGAACATCTCACCACCGACAAAATTCGACACTCACATGCTATTGATTATTAAAATGGTGACATAACTACTCAGAAAAACTAAAAAACACGATGCTAAAATAACTCAAATTGACAAAAATAAAACCATGAATTTAAGAACTGACACTAAGAGTTCAAGTTCAATTTGTAAATGCATCGTACAATAATTATAAATCTAATTAACGATAATGACTGTCTTGTATATTGTTAAAGTTCGTTATATTATGTCCGTTGGTGTTTATACACAGTCAAATCAATCTCACAGTATTGCATCATATTGTGAAGTTTTATCTAAACTTATATTCAAAACTATACAAACCATTTATTTTTATTGCTTCACATTTACACCCATCGTTTAGGGAATACTTGTGTCCTTCCTCAGGTATCTGTTATATTCATAAAACATAACATTGCATTAGCAAGATAGTCCAATTTTAAAAGATACCCTTGAATTCATCATTAGGCCTGAGACGGCTACGATGCATTCGAGGGCAGAGCACTGAAGTGAACGAGTACACATGACATTCTTAAATGAAATGTAGCCAGCCAATACCTTGCAAAATGTAACTGTTGCTAATGCAATGTTACATTTGATGAAATAAAGGCACCTGAAAAAGGGAAGAAGTGTTTCCGAAACGCTATGCGTGTTCATGTTAAGCAATAAATATACATGCTTTTGAACTTTCGAATATTAATTTAAACAGATCTTTAATAGACCTATGACACTATGACGCAATATTGTAAGATTGAGTCGACTCTCTATAAACACCAAAGGACGTAAAATAAACAACTTAAATAGTTATGAACGTGTATCTCTCTTGTAAATTATTTAAGTTTCAACTACATCCCTAGTGATGCTTGAATGGTTGTTAATACTGTACGATGCCAACTATGTTTTCGGAACTTCTCGTGGTTAGGGAGAAGTTCCATGGTGTTTCCAAGATCTTAAAGCCAGCAGAATCGTCACGTCACCACGTAGGTAGCACTGACGCAATAGCTTGCGCGCTCATATCTGGTAAATGCCAACGATCGTCCCTCTCGTTTAAAAGGAAAAGGTCGCACATGGGCATTGGTGCGAATCAGTGGCAATTAGGATACTGGTAGCGGCTTTGTAGACTCCAGTGACACTCCCGTTACGCTCTCGAACGCTAAGGAAAATTGTACTTGCCACTTCCGAAGTTGCACTTTCACACGACGCAGTACACAGCTATTTTAATTTTCCATATATTCGACCAATGTAGATCAATCTTCTCCAACTTTGCGCTTTCAATGCGCAACATACATGGCAAACTAAAAAGTCCATATTCATTCTCGTCGTCGGTTCTTCGAGCAGTAAATTACACAGTGATACTACTAAGTTTCTGAACCGCTCAGTGACAACTCCAAAGAAATATATCACTATGGTTACAATACCAACAGCAAATATAGGATAATTTCTCACATTTTTGATCGTGTGTTCATTTCTAAACCTAACTGAACTAATTTACAGGAAGACATTAGGAAAGCGCTGATTCAAATTGGATTGTAATTCGAGAAATTTTTCATCAATAGACATGTTGGAATTCGAAGATGATAAAAAAGGATTTCATTCATGGCATGTACACCTAAAAGTATTCTCACATCTAACACACATTCGTCGTCGCTTCTAACATAAACTACACGACGTATTGTATGCACCATTCCAACCATTTGCGTTCCAACAACGTCTACGACCTCATGTTTTCTCCCGAGTCTTGGCAAGTAAAGAGAAGAGCAGGCGATGGCCACTTACGTCGCAGACGACCGACAAAAGCCAAGAGAAATGTAAACGTTACGGTACGTAAAAGCCCGGGTCGCAACCACCTCTGCTGTTTGCGTCCCACGCTGCAAGTGCCTGGACGATTTCACAAAATACAAAACGTGGCAGTATGAGATCGTTTCGACTCCATTCAGACATTCACCTTTGAAAATGAGCAACTGACAGCCGCGAGCGAATTTCTAGATCTCAACACGAGCAAAGCCACTGAAAGAACGCGTGACGTTTCGCTAAACAAAACAAAACAAAAAAAGTGGGAAACGAAACCACTGCACGAAAGAGACGAGTTGCTGCGACCGGCAAGAGGACACAAATGAGAACAGCAGGAAGTTTCTTACAAGCGACGTGTTTCAGACATAGGTACATATGTCCTTCTTTTCTCAAGAAATCTAAGAAGTTTTACAAATATATTTATGACATTGATGAATATAATTGATCAGATGAACATTATAAAATGCATTAATCGTAAAAAAAGTAAGTGGTTATTTAAAGATATATTATTTTAGAACAGCTTTCATTAAGGAAAAAATATTAATCAATATTGTATGTTTTCATTTTTTTGGCAATTTTCGAAAATACAGTGTTTATAGAAAATTAAACCTGCACCATTTCATAAGCATACATTAGTCTATTGAAAGAGAAGAAAGAAAAAAGTGAAGCTGTTTTTTGAAAAAATAATTGTTTAAACATTTTCTATAACTCATATAAAATTACATGAAAAGTACTCATATTTTGAAAAAAATGTACAAGTCCTCATTTAAAACCTAATTATGAAGAACAAATTTCGTTACGAAAAAATAAGAAACTACGAAGAAATACGATTGTGTCAAGGACCAAGATTCAAACCACATACCGTCGAAAAGTACAACTACGTGCCAGGGCACACAACTATAGACCAAGAAGTATGTATAAGAGACAATCGGCTCCTAGGAGAAACATATTGGGTTCATAGATTCTTCTATAGTTGTCTCAGATTTTGCAGATACTCAACATTGCAGGGGGTCTGTATCGAACATGTCATTTACTGTTGAACAGTTTTGTAACTGAAGTGCTGAGTTTACTTGATTGTAAAAAAAAAATGAAAAAAGTCCCATCTGGTGTTGCTACTTCGACTTAGTTCAAGAATCTGTTAAGTTGATATTTTGTGACACGTATCTATAGTAATAAAACGTTCCTGTCGACGGTTTTAAATAGTACTTGGTTTATTTGCACACATCAACATAACAAAAAATCGTATCTTTAGAGAACAGCAATAGGCCACCTACTTCATCTGACCTTTTGCGATTTTTATAGTACAACCGAAAATAGTACATTTAATAGTCATCGAAAACAAGCTTTTTCAATGGAAATCTTTTTGACGAATCAACTGAAAGCTGAAATATGTATATACGTTGGGTAAAACCCCCAAATC